GATTTACCCCCTAAGGTTAAGCTCTATTTAATCTTTTATATTTCTTTACTTAAAATAGCTAAAGATATTATCTATATTAGATACTATAATAAACCCTAAGAAGTTAATAGACTAAAAGAATATATAATAAAAAAAATTATTATAATATAAAGAATTAATAATAAGATAAAATACTTAATTAAATAAAAGGATTACCTTAAATCTAAGAATACCTAGGAACCCCTAGAATACCTTATAAATTTATAATACCTCCTAAAGAATTTCTATTAATATTAAAAGAAATACTTAAAATACTAAGGAAATTAAAATCTAAGAGATTTATATAGATTATAATATTAATATCCTTAGTTAATAAAGACTCTTATTAATTAACTTATTTTAATTCTTTAAGAGTATTAACCCCTTTCTTTATTAATTTAACCCTATGAGATATTAATAAATACTTTTGCCTTTAATATAACTCTAATTAAGATAATAATTTATCTAACTTATGCTAAGTATATTTAAGATTCTTATAATAAGAATTTAATAAAGCCTTAATAATAGCCTCTTAATTATCTAACCTTTTCGCCTTATTAATAATTTAACTTATTATAAAAATATATTAGCTAAGAATATAAAAAGGCTATATAACTAAATAAAGAATTTATATAATAATAATAAAATACTTATAATATTATAAGGATATCCTAAGTTAATATAAAGATTATATTTAAAATAACCCTCTAATATCTTATATAAAATACCCCTCTTTTTATAATAATTATAAGGTATAACTTTATAACTAAATTAATTAATTCTAATAATAATTATATAATTATTATTTGACTTTATTCTACCTAAAAAAGGGATTAAAGTATTTTAATTAAAATCTTAGTAAATTTAATAATAAAGGCTCTATACCTAAAGCCTAAGGTCTTAATAGGCTTAAATTAATAAGGTTTATCCATATAATTATTAATACCTTTAATAATAGCTCTATTCGCAATAAATAGATTATATCTTAACTAGCTAAAGAGGTTAATATCTTCTTCCTATAATAGCTCTCCCCTCTATTATTAACCTTCTGATTATCCTTAGGATTCTTAATTACTTAAAGAGATATAAATCGCTTCTATTATCCTCATAAGAGGAGGTTTAACTAATAACTAATAACTATAATTAACTAGTTAACTAATTAATAACTAGCTAACTAATTAATAATATAAAAGAAGATTATAATAGCCTTTTATAGAGACCTCTAACTAAATAATCATAGCAGCGTAGCTAATACCTATTAATAGGCCTTCTTATATAATTAAGATAACCTTACCGAAGAGGTTTATAAGCTTTATAAAGGCATAAAAAGTACCTATAATAGGCTATAAGAGATAATCTTATATAGAGCTATTTAGAGTATTAATTTAAGCGCGCTACTTAGCGATCTAATATTAATTAAGCTTATAATCTTTAGTTATAACCTTTTTCTTCTTTTACTTAGCCTCTTTATATCTAATTCTTATATTTATATAAGGATTAATTTTATTAAAAAAGAGCTTTTTTTACTTAAGGCTTTTAAGATAAAAATAGAGAAAAAAAAGATCTTATTAATAAAAAAAAGAATTTCCTTAAGGATATAAATAATAATTAGCATAAGGTATAGCTTATAATACTTATAATAAGTATTAAGATTTTCTATACCGCTAAATAAAGATTAAAGAAGTCTTATAGCTAGCTAGGATCTAGCCATATAGCTATAGGCGTAATATTAGGAAATAGAGGTTATCGAGGTTATCGGCATTATAGGTTTACTTAGAGGGATTAGTTCCTAGAGTTAGCGGCGGAGTTTAAACCTAAAAAGTGTTAGCGCCGGGGCTTAGCGCCGGACTTAGCGGTAGATAGAAGTCTATAGGTTTAATTAATTAAACCTATCTGGTTAAATATATAATATATAAATATCAGCTCATATGAATATACGAATAATAGTAAGTTTAATAGTAATTTTAATAGTAGAATAATTAAATAATATATAATTATATTACGGTTTAGATTAATAGATTTTCTTTTATTAATATAACCTAATATTATATTTGTTACGGCTTGGTCCCCCGTAGCAGCGATTGAAGCCCTATAGGCAGTTGAAGCACCTTCTGTAATTGCTACAATAGCGATTATGGCCTAATCTTTTGCCCCGTGGCGCAGTGGCTAAGGTGCCCACAGCTGTGACTGCCGTCACAATATTAATATAAGGATATTTTATAAGAAGAAATTAAGATTAATTAATCAAAGGAACCTTAGCCTAAGAAAATAATTTCGAGGGCGAGAACTAATAGGAAAAGAGAGATTATATTATAGCCTAATATATCCCTTATTATATATTATTTTTATTCCCTATATTTTCCCTTCCTAATATACTAATTATAAGAGACCTTACTTCTATAAGTACGAGGCCCTTACTTAGACCTTACTTCTATAAGTATAAGGCCCTTACTTAGACCTTACTCCTATAAGTATAAGGCCTTTACTTAGACCTTACTTCTATAAGTGCGAGGCCCCTTATATATATATAATACTCGTTATACCTTAGATAGATACTTAGCCCTTAAGCTATTAATAGACTTTAATTACCTTTAAGACCTTCTTAACCTATTACTAAAACGTAATTCCCCTATTGCATAGTAACGCTGAGACTCTCTGCTAATAATAAACCTAGCACGCCTGGTTTATTCCCTTGGAAAACTCTAGACGTCATAAGGAGAGTATTTATTTAGCTAAGGCTTTGGGTAAACTAACTTAGTAGCGGAAATTAAATAGGGGGTATCTAAGGTAATCTAGAAGTCAATTCTTAGGTTAATCTTTAATAGACTTAGTAAATAGTATTAAGTTAGTTATTAATATTCTCTTTTATAGAAAATAACTAGATATCTAATTTATATTTTTATTTAGAATATTTATTTTAAAAGGTTATTTAGGGCTATAGGTATTAATATTAAATTTAATTAGCCTAAAGAGATAAATTTAGTAAGTAGCTAATATAAAAAAGCTTTATATTTAAGTTAAGGAATTATTAATATAACCTATATTTAAATAATAAAGGCTATCGATATAATTATATAGAGACGCTATAAAGCAGATAATACTACTAGAAAGGATCTCCTATAATACCTTATTAACAAGGGGATAAAGCCTAATACTCTTAAAATAATAAATACTTATAATATCATCGATTAGATATCTAAAATTCTTCTAATAGGGTCTAAGATTACCTCCGGGATAATTACCTGCCTATTCTAAGAACTAACTCGTAATCTAGATAAATAGGCTAAGCTTTTTGATTTATTACTTATTTTAGATATCTACAATAAAATTATTAGCGATAAAATGGTTTAGAATAACCCTAAATATAGGTACCTGAATGCTTATATTAAGGAAGCTCTCCATTTATATCTTATTACCTCTAAGATAGGCCATTATATAGGCGATTAGTAGGTATAGCTCATAGGATATAATTTATTATTATATATAGTTATCTCTATATCTTACCGTAACCTATACTATAATAAGAAATACTTTTTAGATACTTTAAGTTTTAAGCTAGAATAATTCTTATAGGAGCCTAAGAGAGGCGATATATTAGCTACTAAGTAAGCAATATCCCTTAATAAATATACTACTAATAAGTTAGGTTATTAATTAAAATATTCATAGATAATATAGATACTTATTATCCCTTTTTAGCCAGGAAGTATTCTTATATTAGTATTAAGTAAGTCTTATATCTAATAGTTTAAAGAAGAAAAAAAATTAAATTAAACTTTTATAGCTTTACTTAGGCTAAGATAAGGATAATTACTATAAACCTCTTCTCGAGATTTAATATTATAAAGGTATTAGGCTAGGATATTAACTTTAGGTAATATATTACTATATAGTTTATATTAAGGCATTAGAAGGCTATTTTTATTCTAAGGAAGAAGGCTGGTAATCTAGAGTAGGTTAAGTAGAAGATATAATAGAGATCTTATATAGCCGGTGGCCACGCTAAGCTGTTCGTCAGAAGAGGCGTCCGAAATTTCGGCGTCTAAGCTGGGGATACCAGGATCCGTGGTCTCTGGCTTCTAACCGCCTCCCCGTCATTTCCTTGCTCCTCTAGTGGGAAACAACATAGAAGACAATCCTTCCAAGCTCTCGGCTGTTCCGTCTCGCTCTGCCGTGAAATAGCTGGCAGCTGTACGGTTGGGAAATCGCTATTATGGGATTCGGACAAATGCAAGTGCAGTGCTTCCGGGTTACTATAAACGTTAGTGTTAGATTCGCAGATGGCACAAACCCAGATAGGCGTTAAATAAACTAGTTGATACCATCGCCGACTGTGAAATTCCATGTGCTTGGTCCACTCCTCGAAGGTCGGAAAGGTAGGGTGCCCTTCTCGGCACCCCTCGGAGAAACAAATGTAAGGTTTGAGGTCTCGGTCTATGTGTCGACTGGGAGTACATTAGCAGTGTTTTTTCCTCAAGTGCCCGGGGATATATCGCATCCGGAGGGTCTGGAAACAACATACCTCTTGAATGATATGTAAATCATCATCCGGCCAAACATGTTACAAAGCCAACGCCAATATGCTGGCAAAAATAAAACGAAGTAACACATACCGCCAATTGCTTTCTGAGAGCGTTTTCATACTGAGCGGCTCAGAACACCACTCGCAAGCGAAGATATTGCTGTCCCCGTTGGCAACAGGTGGTGGTGGATATTTACGTTGGTTGACTTGAATCGACGAGGTTTTGCGAGACTTTATCGACGCTTCATCTGGTGCTCTGAGCCGGCTCCTGATCTGTTGGATGTTGACGCTAAATAAGTCAGATAGAGAGGGTGCAGCAGACGCTTTCGCGAGATTAGTTAAAACCTTGGCTTTGAGGGTCCTTGCCGGCTGGGTAATAGAGAGCATGGCTTGGGTCTCGTTACTCGGAATCTCAGGAAGAGGCGAGAGCCCAATTCGCGTCTCCCGACGAGTCTCGAGCTTCTTATGTCGAGCATTGAAGAACAACATCCTTGCATATCTGTCAGTCATTGACTTGCTGAGATAGTCTTTGAGAGACTGGTGAGCACCCGGATACAAGGACTGTACGGCATTCGCACACATGTATGAGAACGACTTTAGATCGTGGCCTGCGGCGAACTTCGTGGCTCTCGCATCGATCTGGGGACGACTCGACTGGCGAATTGTGACACCCAGGCGGTTTAGTCGAGTAAGAGCGTCGTCGATCGCTATCAGAATTGCGGTTTCTATCTGAGGAGGCCCAGGTGGTATTTCGTCAGCCCATATCGGAGCCGGATCTTCGCCGCCTTGAATATCCATGTCGACAATACATTGTTGGAGACAACGATGGAGGACAGCTAACAACCTAGCACTCCGATAGTCCAGGGTAGTTAACAGTGAGATTGAACTTGTGAGCGGGGAATCAGGCTGAATTGTAACTGCCTACCTACGAATACCTTCCCAGGTCACTCGGATTAACTCTTGAGCGCAGCCCCCGCTCGTAAGCGCCGGTCAGCAGGGCTCGTCTTCCTTCATGCTTTCTCAAGGCATCAGATCAACGAAGTGCTCAGACATTGTACAAATGGGGGCTGCCAACTCGAAATGCCTTACCTTATTGAGTCAAATGAATGGCGCTTACTCCGAGGACTGGGTCTCATCTTAAATCAGAGAAAAGCGCGATACCATGAGCGTCTCGGCCTTCTTGAGGGCTATGAGATACATCCAAACGCCGAATTATTCGAGATTAAGCTTCGCCGCGCATTCACGATAGAGGAACACCCCCGAGATCTAGATACAACAGAGTTCAAGCAGTACGAAGAAACGCTAAAGACCCTCTACCTATTATTAAATAACCTTATGAAGCCTCGCCGCGTCCACGATGACCCAGAGAACCAGACCTATCCCCGGTTATAGGCACTAACTAGATACCTAGAGATAACACCTGGAACCATAGACCTGGTGAATGGCCCCAACGAACCCATTTTCAGACTTTCCCAAGGCTTGGAGCTTAACAGATGTCTACACCTTGTCACCGAGTGCAATAATGCGCTCAGTCGACTACTCGAACCACCTCCGCAAGAACTGGCCACTCGGCGAACGCCAACACGACAAGAGAGCATGGAAGAAAGCTAGAATACGAAACTGGGCCACGATAGTTCTGGGAAATTTATTTCAGCACTTTAGGTGCGGAACGTCGCATGAAGTGCTGTTGAAGCTCATCGAGGACACTGATGAGGATCCATTACCACCGAGTTTGCAACTCATGCTTTCCCCATGTACAAAGCTGGAGCCATGGCAGGAAGCGCGATGTCACCCAGTTGATTTGTACGTTTCTCAGCCCCGAGTCCTCAAAAGTTTATGTCTAACCTTACTTTCAGTGGCCAAACTTCAATTTCTTCTATCCGTGATATCTGTGAAGACCTCCGACAGCACGGTGGCCAAGGAAAGGCGCTGATGCTGCTCACCGAGAAAGACGGGCTTTTCGGTGCCTGGGCAAGTCCTGATTCCTCCAGGGCCGACTAGTCTAGGTATTCTCTCGATGAACTCATCCTAGATGATGCTTTCAAACCTCTTCATCTCAACACCTTGTTCCACGGGGCTTCACCAGCGTGTTTTAGTACAAAAGGCAAGCGGGCACTCGCCGTCAAACTTGGCTTTTGTCTCATTGACTTCTTCGACGTTGACCTCACCTCGAATAGGATATATTTCTTGAGTTCCTTGAAATCATTGCCCAAGAAAGAATTCTCATACCTGGCGATTGGTCCGAAGTTACCGGCGACAGCTGACTTACAGCGTGGGCCATCCTGCGCTGCTTTCCTTCGCAAAACTATTACTAGAGATCGACTTTGGCTGAGCCATCGACCTGGGTATCAATCCTTGTAATAGCCAAAACCTACCTGCCTGGGGTCAGCTCCTGAGTCGCGTGGATCGCCTTGCAGAAGAGAGGAGCGATTCATATCTCCAAGCCCTCAGAAGCTGTCTTCTGGTTCACGAGAAGATTGCCAAGGCGCTCCGACCTCAAGGACTTGGGGGTAAGAAGGCTGATTCGACAATACGAAAGAAGCTCTACCATTGTGTTCAAAGATGATGTGTGCCAACGAGAGAAGTTTGGCAATTCGCCGAGATGTTGCATTCAAGCTCAAACTAACCTTTCATGACGATGTGGCTAGGGGTGACTCTTCTGCTATTGCGGAGGATTTAAAGGGGGGCCACTGTGTTAATATCGGGTCATGATGTTATGATGTGTTGAAAATCTGTTCTTTATTATAGTTGTAGCCCGGCCCTCGATGGGTTAACTGAGCCCGAAGATCATGACTATCCTGGAGTAGTCGAGGATAAACTGTTCCGGTCGGCCTACCGCCATAAACATCACGTATCACCGAGATGTATCTGCCGCAACCGTACTGGCGACTTGGACCCCGTCTGCAACGAAGCCCTGGGCTCGCTGTGCGCTGATCTTGGCTGCGATGACGCATACCTTGTTGCGAGGGACCGGCTGGCGGCAAAGCAACAGGATGGCAGTGATGCCGCTCAGCCAGCAGTGCATTTTGGGGCTATTGCGTCAGGGGATGCCGTGATAAAGTCGGCCATGGACCGGGACAGGCTCTCGACGGAAGCAGGCGTTATCGCGTTCGAGATGGAGGGCGCCGGCGTTTGGGACGAGTTGCCTTCCATCATAGTCAAGGGAGTATGTGACTATGCGGACAGCCGCAAGCACAAGGCATGGCAGAATTTTGCTGACGCGACGTCGGCATGGACATACAAGGCAATTCTGGAACGCTATATCCGAGCCGATATATAGATGCGTTTAGTACTAATTTTGTACCTCTTGACATATCTCAATATCAGGACTGTCAGGCTTGCGGACATCTTTATGATATGTTTATTGTAATGGAATTTTGCAACGAGCTTTTATGTTGGCCAGGCTGCTCAGCCGTATGGTGCGTCTCGGGATACAGAAGTTGGGCCGCTGGGAGGGTGTTTCCTTGGCAAGTGCGTGCCCTGCCGAAACGCCGGCCGGGCTAGTTAATTGTGGGGGCAATCGGAGTTTCCCGAGGCGCCGATAATGGGTCCCAGTTGCCGCAACCTCTCCCCGTCATCTCATTTGACTCTTCTGGCTACATTTCCTGTTTCCATAGGTACTGATCTTACGCCCTTGCAGCCAGACTCGTTACTACGTCGACACCAATACAGGGCTTTCACTACAAGGTTTCGTGGCCATCACATCACTATGGCACCTCCGAATACGGACAATCCCCACCCTGTCAAGCGCCCCCGCATTGGAGAGCGGACCTTGCTCGCCTGCGTGGGCTGCAAGCAGAAGAAGCTCAAGGTACGGTCTTCCACCTTCATGTGATGTGCTCTGTCTCGTCTGACTTTACATAGTGCGATGGGCAAGTACCAAGATGTCAAAACTGCTCAAAGAATGGGCGAGGTAGGCTAAGCTGCACATCCCACCAAACGGCCCATCCGGTGTTAACATGACCATTTAGAGTGCCTCGTTGAAGACCCTGCGACGGGTTTGTTCCGTCCTCGAGACTACATGCAGTCGCTCGAAGCAAGAGTCGCCTATTTAGAAGGTCTACTCCAACAAGTCCGACCTGATGTAGCGTTGGATCATCTTGCTGGTCTGGAGAAGGCCCACGGCGACTTATCGCCATCTGCTACATTCCCCGAGTTGCCCCGACCGTCGGCACTGCGGAATGGAGAAAGAGCGCCCATAGTCTCGGATGCAGACGCTGCCGAAAGCCATCAACACGATGCATCTCTCGACCTGGAGGACCCGGCTGACCAGCTCTCCGCCGACGTTGCTCTGTTATGCCTCACAACGGCAAGCAAGGAGCCTCACTACTTCGGTCCATCCTCTGCTGTGTCATTTTCCCGTGTTGTTAGTGCAGCGATGAATCTTCCCAAGAAAGTCGGAGGTTCTCAAGCCAGCGGTATCAATTTCAGCCACGGTAATTCGAGCTGGGAGTTGGCGACGCCATTTCCCATCAGCTTCCCTTCGGCACCCCTCGGGACCACACTGTCTCAGGCCTACTTCAACAACATCCATCCTCAATACCCTTTTTTGCATCGGCCAACATTTCGGTTTTGGGAAGAGCTATGCTTCAAGGCCAATAGCACTGGAAACCTTTCACTTGCTGGCGATATCGCCCAGTTCTTCGTCTGGATGGTATACGCGATTGCATCCCTAGCCCTTGGCCCTACCCATTACGATACAGCGGAATCGTACTACAATATGGCGCTTGCACACCAGCCTTCAGTTTTAGAGCTTGACGGCATTGAGTCAATACAGAGCCTGCTTTGCTGTGCCGTCTACTCTATCAGGTCCCCTGCTGGGGGAAGTTTATGGTAGGTGCCAAGAGTCGGCCATGTTGTTCATCAGCCGGGCTCGCAATAGAGTGACGACCCAGACGCTGATTATCTCAGGAAACTGTCTGGACTGGCAATTCGATACAGCATCGAGCTGGGCTACCACAGAAGTGCATCAACATATCGCAAGAACTCGAATCCTCTGATTGCCGAGATGTCCAATCGATGCTTTTGGGTGGCATACGATATCGACCGTGTTGCATCCTTTATTCTTGGTCGGCCAGTTGGAATTCCCGATGATTGCATCGATGCTGAGGTAGGCGCCTGGTGACATCTAGATGCTTGCCTACTAACTGGCGTCTTACCAGCTCCCTCTGGATATCAACGATGAACATATCAACGCTTTGGGTCTGCTTCAGAGCCCTCGGGCCTCTCCAGATGAGCCACCAACCAACATGACAGGGGCCATCCATGTTATCAAGCTACGTCGACTCTGGTCAAAGATTGGCAACAGCATCTATCCTGCTATCGCAAAGTGTTCTCCTAGCCAAGAGGTTGCAAAGAAGCCTTTGATCGATCAACTTGCTCAGGAGCTCGAAAGCTGGCATGCCGAAATCCCTCAGCCACCTGACACAGCTGGCCTGGATCCATTGTCCGTCTTTGCGTCTCGGGAGTGGTTCAAGCTGGCTTATGACCACTCAGTCCTCCTTTTATACCGTTACTGGATCACGCACAAGCCACCTCCTGGGGAAGAGGAATCTGTTGAGCATGCACTTGAGACTTGCTCGCAGAAGGCGAAGGAAATATGCCTCCTCTACCGACGGCTGTTTCAGTACCAATCTATGCAGTTTACCTGGGGTTCATTGCATATTCTCTTCCTTGGCGGCCTTACATATCTGTATTGCATCTGGAAATCAGCAAGAGTGAGGCAAGCGGCCAAGAAAATGGACGTTATCAACACTTGCATGGCCTGCAACACAGCACTTGTCATTATAGCCGAACGCTGGAGTAAAGCTACTCCGTACCGGGATATCTTCGAAGTGCTTTCTGAGAAAACCATCGGCCTCGTTTGCGGAGACGAATGGAGGCCGCATGGCAACTCTCCTGCGCCACCTACCTCGCACTCGGGCGGAGCAGTGAACTCACAACCCCTGGAGGACTGGATTATGGAGCTTGGCGCCAGCGATATGCCGACGGAGTCTGAGTGGTTTGTCCAGCAGCTACTTCAAGGGATGCGGAACACACAAACGGATATCACAGCCGAAGCACCTCCGACATCTTTAGATATGTAAGATCATGCATCGTCAACAACGAAATGATTTTATTTGTCTTGACCTGTATGGCTCAATCCATGTAGCTCTGAAATACCTGTTGAGCCGATATCCTCTGGGTTCCCATCACATCCTTCAACCTAAAGCCAGACCGCACTTCTCGATGCTCTCACGCTGGGACTTGAGGTATAGGTCATCAGCACTCAGTAGCGCGCCGCCCAGAGCGTTTTCGTAGCCTTCCTGATCTGGTCTCCCCATCTCACATAAAAAAGACCTTTTGCTCGACGTCAGGTTTGACTGGAAGATACCAGCGGCAGAGAAAGGAAGAAAATCCTCATAGGTGATTGGCTCTGCTTCCAGGTAGCCCTGAGAGACAAGGTCTTCCAGAGAGGGCATCTTGGACGAATCTTTTGGAAATGGCTTCTCAGTTCGCCGGTAGGTGAAATAGACCAGTTCCCGTCTCCTGAGCTCAGTCCAGGTGTCTGGATAGGTCCGGAACACCTCACTCAAGAGGTCATCCATCAACTCTGGCCTTTTGTCGCAAGGAAGAGCCTGGAATTTGTTCATGGCCTTCTCCAACAAGGCGTCGTATAACTTCCTACCGGCAGGTGTAACGGCAGCTCCGCGTTCCTCAATCTCCCCGAACCGAGCTCTGTGCGTTCCTTCAACGAGGGCACCCTCAGAGTTCCGGAACTTGATCCTTTCTTCAAGAGCCAGGAAGCTTGTTTGGCGGAGCAGGATGGGACATTGGCGAGGTGGAGGGCCCTCAATGCGATCTTTGACTTTGAGACCCTCGACTTTCATTCTCTCCTGGCTGGCCACGATATCTAGCGTTCTCGGAGTCAGGTGGTTAATGTGAGAGCTCTTGAATGAGGCAATGTCTGCCAATATTGGATGTTCGGCAGCGAGTGTCTTGTACTCGTCCTCAGTCGCTGATGCTTCAGGCCTCCAGCTGAACGTTTTCATTGCTTCAAGTATGAACTCCTCTACTTGTGAAGCACTGAGGTGGTTGTTCTGGCCCTCAGCCGTAGTAATCAGGTCAAGAAGTCTAGAACTGAAGATGTTGCGTCTGGTCAAGAGCTTTGTGGCCAAGTCCCGGGCGTCGTTATCAGAAAGCAACTCTGGTCGAAGTAGGGTAGTAAAAACACGGAAAGGGTTCTTGTTGAGGGAGGCGAGATCAATGGGCCGGAAGCAAGTGGCGTGCATTGGGAGTCCGGCGATAGAAAGATCGTAATAGCCCACGGCTTTAAGACCGATGACCGCGAAGATACGGGAAACGGTCCTTAATTCATAGGGAGTTCCCAGTCGTATTGCGCCGTGTCGCTCTAGATCAAGTCTTTGAGGCACAGCGCTTTTGTCGATGTTTGTCTGATCTGCTAACTGGGATTTTGCGGAAAGAACCTCCTTGTTGATAGACTGCACAATGCGGATAAGGTCGCCATACAAGGGAACTTCATTTCTGTACATGGCGGACATGGCAACAGTGAAGGCTGTCCGAACATCATTGGGGTCCATGAATGGCTCAACGGGGCCATAAGGACCGCCACCGGCGGTTGCTGATCCCAGAGTGACAGTCGACATCTTGATGAGCCCAAGAGTTGTACAGTGTTGAAAAACACCTAGTGATAACCAGATTGAACCAAAGAAAGCGAAAAGAAGTAGCTGCTATTGAAACTCAACTCACAGAACCTGCAGCCTACTCTCAGCATTATCGACAACCGCGATTATATCACAAACAACATCGGGTGTTACCGAGAGAGTTAGTTTTTAAATCCACGCCTAGGGTACGTGAAGGATCAGGTCAGTCTGGCCAATCACGGGGGTTACCGAGTCCCGGCGGATAGCCGCAACTATTTACATGCTTCAACAATTGCCAGGGTCTTGCGTATTGTTCAAGCATCTCGATCAAGCATCAGTTTTAGTATCAAGTTCATTTCCACTTTCCGCAACAATTTCACCATGTCATCCACCACCACAGTCACAGTTACGACCTCTTCTTCCTTGAATGTGACAAGCGACAAGGATGGCAAGCCGAAGAGACTCCACCAGATCCCCCAGTTTCAGACTAAGGAGGAGACGAGGCGTTGGCAGCTGGAACAGATGGCCGGTGCGTTCCGCGTCTTTGCCAAGCTTGGATTTGCGGATGGAGGAAGCGGTCATATCAGCCTAAGAGGTGAGTTACTCTCGTACTCGTCGGTCTCTACCGGGACAGCCAGGGTCTAATACGTTTTGCAATTCGTTCAGACCCCGTTCGGCCAGATACCTTTTGGATCAATCCATATGGTGTCCATTTTGGCCTACTGACCGTCTCTGACATGGTTCACATTGATGAGGACGGCAACCGAATCGGTGGTGGAGACAAGCCCGTTAACACAGCGGGCTTCATTATTCATGCTGCCATCCACAAGCGACGTCCAGATATTAATGCCGCTTGTCACCTCCATAGCCCATATGGGCGAGCCTGGTCAACGTTCGGGAAGCCCATTGACATGCTCAACCAGGATTCATGCATGTTTTACAAAGACCTTGCGGTCTATGGCAGCTTCGGTGGCGTGGTCTTTGCAAAAGAGGAGGGTGGCCGCATTGCTGATGCCCTCGGTGCCGCTAAGAACATCATCCTGCAAAACCATGGTTTGCTAACAGCGGGTGGAACCATTGGTGAGGCGGCAGCATTTTTTATCGCTTTGGAGAGAGCTTGCCAGACTCAATTACTCATTGAGGCTGCTATGGCTCCTAATGGCAACCAGCTGCAGAAGTCTCTGGTTAGCGATGAGGAGGCACAATATACAAAGGATGGCACTGGAACTCCTGAGGTGATGTATATGCAGTTCGAGCCAGAGTATCATTTGATCTTGAAAGAGACCAAGGGGGACTTTCTTCAATAGGGGAGATACAATGAGAGGCATACGATGTTAGCGATAAGTCCTGTGTAGTGCTAGATGAGTTAATAATAGTAGGTACTACTAAATCTTTCTGTTCTAAATTGACCTGCATATCACTTTCAACTCTTGATAAGTGGTAAGGGACAGGCTTTTGTAGCTCTGCACGCATGTTCAAGGGCATGCTCTTCGGAAAGATATGATGCTCACTCGGATAAAGGCACTACTAAATGGGATTAGACGGAAGCAGCTAATGGCCCGCTGACGCACTGGGAAACAAAATTCCGAAATGGCCTTGCTGGTATGTGACCAGTCCGCTCGCTAGAAAGAAGACTTAGTTGGAGGGAAGCGCCAAGGGGAAGTGTCTGGGAGCAGTACAGGCAGTCACAATTGGACCTTCATTGATTACACTTGAAATGAGTGCGGAGCTGTAACCTTAGCAGTTTAGAGCACAATCTGCCTTGTTGGGATCAATTGCGTACATCAAGGGAGGATTGAATCTGCTTGTGCAGGGTAAGACTTCTATTCATGTAGGTGGGCCATCAATGCAGTGGCAAAAGACTGCTATGTGTCGCTTTGTATGAAGCTATAGCATCGAACGCCTCTTTGAGGTTGGCCCATGAATGGAATCTGTCAGCACCACATTTTGCAAAGCCCTCGGCCCCTTCTTCCCTTCCATAAGAACATTGATCGGCTCTTTTTCTCTTTGGCTCCTCCACCTCCATGCCTTGATAGCTGCACGATCGGTTTCCACCTCCTCTATAATGTCCACCACCCAGTCCCCGATATTGGGCAGGAACTTGAAGGCATGGCCGCTACCGCCTGTGACGACCATGAGGCCTGGCTGATCCGGTACACGGTCAATGACAAAGTGGTTGTCAAAGGTATCAGTGTACCAGCATGCTCTTGTGAAAGCAACATCGCCAACTTCCTCGAGGACTTCTGGGATATTCTCCGAGACAAAGGAGGCGATGGTATCCATGGCTTGTTTCGGAATCTGAGTGAGCTTTTGCCCGTCAGTCCACCTCGTTACGGGGACACTGCGCTCTTTTCCATCTCGTTGGATTTGAGGATTGGTGTACTTGGTGCCACGGTATCCGATCTTAAAGTGGCCCTCGGAGTCAAGGGCGAAGCCGTAAAGACCGCCTTTTGCACCATCCCTCATCTTGTACATCCAGATAGGGAAGTTGCTTGATGAGAGTCGTTCAAACAGTGGAGATGTCTTTGGAATTTTGAAAACGGCCACAGAACCTGCCGTGGCTTCACACAGTCCATCAAGCTCGGGGACAAGGACCGGCGTATGGGCGCCACAAGCCATGATGGTGAGGGTTGCATCATGAAGTTGGTTGTCTTTGGTTCGAACACCGACAACTCTGCCACCCTTGCGGATAAGAGATTCGAAGGTCCCCGATTGAGCACCAAAGATGAACTTGACTCCAAGCCGCCTTGCCTTGTGAAGTGCAAGACGACAAGCCTTGTCGGCCGCAACGTGGCCGCCACTCGTGTCAAGAATGCCTACCATGGCTTTCCCACGAGCTTTGGACCTGAACTGGTCGGTGTCGAAGCCTAATTGCCTGGCGACCTCGATGTCTTGGGGTTCATTGGTGATGAGCGGTTTTGCAAGCCCCAGCTTCTTTGCACCTTCGATCGTAGCCTGTTCAAACGGCGGCAGGACGTCTCCCTCGTTGAAGGAAATGGCTCCGTTGTTGAAAAAGACTTTGTCGGATGGGCTCATGCCAGGCGGCACCTCCCCGTTGGCCAAATCAAGATTCCATTGGTTCCACAACTTGATTGCCTCAATTGAGAGTTCTTGGTACTCAGTCTGAGTTCCATAAGCTGATCGAATGATTTTGTTCAAATCTTTTTTTCTGTCATTAGCTCACAATGGTTGATCAATAATGTATTGATGCTAGGAGCTCACCTGCTGACGCAGCATCACAACCCTTTGCATAGGAGTAGAGCCCTTGGTCATAATCTTGTTTATCGAGAACCGTTACCTGATCGTAGCCACGCCTAGCAAGGTGGAGGGCGGTGCTTAGACCGAAGATTCCTGCGCCAACAATGACGATAGGATCGCTTTTTCTCAAAGCTGACATGGTTGGTCTCTGGGCGGATGGCTTTGGTGATTTTTCTGGGCAAATGATGTGGTATCGTATTTTATCAGCTCAGAACTCGACCATATTGAGCTAACGTGTTGCCACTCCGGAAGTTTACGAGTCAGTGGGAATCATTTTATCGGCCTCAAGATGATGATGCCGATGATAACAATGATAAGCGGACGCTAGAGAGCGCTAACACCGAATTGAGTCTAACCGAAGCGGGGAATTCAGCAATTCGGGTTCCCCCGATATCAAGTGCTCTCGTGATGATTCCGCGCATACGCTGGTTCGGGAGAATCCAGAATTCGCGGTGCCAGTTGACGAGGATATCCTGCGGGGAAGAGATAAGCATCTGGGGTAACGAATGCAGCTCATGCTTGGCGCGACTAGCTCGTGGCTCCTCCGAGGTCGAGTAGGCCAAGCGAGGCTTTGTGGGTGGTGATATATTCCTGCACAGGACCCTCCGAGGAAACTTCTGACAGCGGACAAGATCATCACTTCCTAATTTGTCTTGACAACTGAACCAGTTTCTATATTCTCACCGAAACGGAAAACTCTCCTCATCGAATCCATCATGGGCTTCAGCAAAGTCTTCACTGACTCATCGCTGGCGAAACATGTCAAGAGCATTCGCAACTCGCCACGCGAAGTCATCTTCAACCGACGTCTTCTCCTGTCGTCGGCACTCTATGCCATGTCAGGCTTGTGCATCAGTAAGTCTCCTCTATCGCCCCTGATATTCTACAGCGCCTAACTCTCCAAAGCTTGGGACCAGGGCTCCAGTTCTGTCGTGCCCTCTCTCCCAGGATTCTCGCAGACGTTTGGCATCACCTCTGCCACCAACCCCAAAGAGGTGGCCAACTTCATCTCCTTCGTCTATCTCACCGCCGGCGTTGGTTCAGGACTGTCCTTCTTTATCAACGACCGCATCGGGCGGCTCTGGTCCTTGAGATTGTACTTCGTCATCTGGATCATCGGCCAGCTGGTTGCAACTTTCTCTTATGGCAACATGGGCGCTCTTTACACCGCTCGATTCATATCTGGTCTTGGTATCGGTCCTCTGACTGTTACTGGCCCCATGTCCATCGTCGAGATTGCACCTACCGAGATTCGCGGCCTTCTGACTGTGTGGTTCAGTGTCGTCATGCTGCTCAGCTTGACTGTAAGCACATTGACGGTGTATGCTTGCTTCTTGCATGTCGCACCTTCACACTTGCAGTACCAGATAGTCTGGTTCGTGCCAACTATCATCTGCGCCATAGTTATCGCTGCGAGCTTCTTTGCTTACGAGTCTCCGCGTTGGTTGATGCTAGTCGGCCGCAAAGAAGATGCTGCCAAGACTCTTGTCGCACTTCGCGGATTGCCAGCAGAGCACCCTCGAGTTGCTGGAGAAATCGCCGACATTGAGGACCAGATCCAAGACGAAAGGGCCAAATATGGCGGCAGCGGCGGCCTCAAGGACGTCCTGAAGGAGACTTTCATGGTTCCCGCCAATCTTCGTCGCGTCCAGCAGGCTCTTGTCTCATACGCGCTTGCACAGCTCTCTGGCGCAAACTCGGTCACCAGTTATCTCGTCCCGATTCTGTCACTTATGGGGATCAGCGGCGCAAATGGACATGGCCTCTTCTTGTCGAGCATGTATTCTCTCTCCAAGTTCTTCTACACACTCATCGCCTCATTTTTCTTCATTGATGCCTTGGGCCGCCGCAAATCGCTCTTCATCGGTATCATCATTCAACTAATCTCGGACGTCTACCTTGGTGCTTACATCAAGAGTCACCAGTCGGGTTCTGTTGCGCCTGGTTCGTCTGAAGCTGCAATCGCGGCAATCTTTATCCATGGTTTTGGATATGCAGTTGGTATGGTTCAAAGGCATCACAGTGTCGTTTTGATGATTAGCTGACAAGCTTAATTCTAGGCCTCCTTGTTCTTCCGTATGTCTTTGGCGCTGAGCTGTGGCCCAACAGCATTCGATCCTTTGGCTCTGCTCTGTCTCAAGCCTTCCACTGGCTTTTCTACTTCGGACTCAACCGCGCTACCCCATCCATACTCAGCAGCATGGACAACTGGGGGGCCTTCATATTCTTCGCTGGGTGGTGCTTTGTGTCCCTCATTTACGTCTTTTTGGCAGTTCCAGAGACAGCAGGTCTCCCCTTGGAGCATATTGATGCCCTGTTCGAGTGCCCCTGGTGGCAGATTCGCAGCAAGGCCAAGACCATGAGAGTCGACTCCATCTCCGGTCGCAGAATCGAAGAAGACCTCGAAGAGTGAGTTATCCCAGATCTTAATAGAGTTGTTTCTGACTTTGTGGCCCCCCAGTACCGAGCGCGATGACGGACAGGACCAGAAATTGACTTCCAAGGGTCGACAGGTGGAGGTCTAAGTTTAAAGCTTTGTGTTGTATCTATAGATCAGTAGGAGAGAAAACGAAGATTCAACCTTCATTTTATTGTACTCCCAGTTTCGCGACTGAACCATCCATGCAAAAGTCAGATGTAGAGAATCCAAGTGTTGGACTGAGGCGTCATAATGGCCTCGTTTAGTAATACGAGGTATGTAACATAATTGCCAACGTTGACTACAATGTTACTCCGGATCACACATATACATTAATAGTGTCTCTCTTTACGATAGGTCTTTGGGGTTGTTGATCAATGATCTGTCCGAGTCTATCAGACACAAGACCAAATGGAACAACCATCCACATACAACAATATCAAAGCCCAATGTCATAAAGGCTTAATATCCATAATCTGATCTAATATAGCCGCATCGGAAAAAGATTCAGGGTAGAAAATGCAACTCTTAGTCGTGTATTCATTGATCTTTACTATCTAGCTAGATCTTCGAACTACCCTTCAGCTTGTCGAGGTTGACTGGGCTGTTTGCCTTCCCAGTCTCAAAATAGGCTCTGATGTTCTCAAAACATTCCCGTTCGGCCTTTTGGAAGGCGACGTCGGTCAAACCACCAAGATGCGGCTGTACAATAACATTATCTTGCTCAAAGAACCAAGGATCAACATTGGGCTCGTTGACAAGCACATCGAGACCAGCTCTCGCGACCTTTCCAGTCTTGAGGGCAGCCTTGAGAGCGGCCTCGTCCACTACAGCCCCACGAGCAGTGTTGACCAGGAACGCCCCATCCTTCATCGCCGCAAACTCGTTTGTGCTAATGAGATTGGTAGTATTTTCATTCAATGGGCAGTTGAGTGAGACGACGTCGGACTGTGAGAGTAGCTCATGTAGTGAATCGCAGTATGTGGCGTTGTATTCTTTCTCGACGTCCTTGGGAAGCTGTCGGCGGTTGTAGTATCGGATCTTCATGTTGAAAACGGCCGCCTTTTTGGCGAGGTACTGTCATTCGAACCAGGTTAGTTTACTATCACAGTCCAGCAGGGCAAATAAAGACAGCTAACCTTTCCGATTGAACCCATGCCGACGATACCCAGTGTCAAGTTGGTAGGATCTCTGGCTGGGATGAGAACACCGGCCTCTCCTCTCCATTTCCCCGATTTGGCAATCCGCTCAGCATTGGAGGTATTACGCAGCACAGCCAAGGTCAAGAACATGGCCATATCAGCGGTAGCTTCGGCAACTGCGTCGACAGAGTTGCAGAAGATGACATTGCTCTTGCTCATCCACTCTACATCGAACTCATTATATCCTGCCGAGGCCGAAGTAATAATCCGACAGTCTGGGACAAGAGCCTCAAGCAAGTCTCCATCGAAAGGCTCGTAAGGCGGTGTTCCCATTCGGATGATGAAGGCATCGATGGGACCGCCTTGACTGATGAGTTCTGGTAGCTTTTGTTGCGTCTCGGCTCGATTAGTCGCATCGAGGACCTCAAAGTCGAAGTCTTTGCCGAACGAGTCTAAATAATCATCGCCGGCATATTTGGGGGTGCCAAGGCATACGACACGGGGTTTCTGAGAAAGGCGACTGGGAGACATGGTGATGACTGTGAGCAGGGCGGTGATACGATGGGATAAGGTGATGGAGATAAGAATAACGATAGCTTTCAAGACGGAACGCGACTGGCCTTGTATACGTCCGACGCCCTTCAAGCTTTCAATCATGATGCAGGGTAGCGCTCATGATTCCGATCTTGGCCTCCCCCACTCGGAAGATTGCGAGCTCCACTTTGATCGTCATGAGGAGTCTCGGCTTCCCCCGAGAGTGGTCAACCATGGCCCAGGGGCCCATATTACGTGATTGGTGAAGATAAAGCTACAAGGGCAAAGCACAGGCCGATTTAGGAGATTAGCAATGGGCCACTTGTCTCCAACAATGACAGACAGCGCTGCCGCACAACCACCTCTGGGCTTCCTCGCCGTCGAAGTTGACATCTTCAGACCGCCAGGAGATCCCTACAATGACAAGACCTGGCCTTTTCCACTTATCCGTGAAAAGGTCACCGGCACCAGTGAATCTCAAATTGTTACAAGCACTGCCTACGACGATGCTTTTATTGAGCGATTCGTCGCTGCCGGCCAGCGATTGGCTGAGAGAGGCGCTGTGGGAATAATCACCAGTTGCGGATTTCTTGCAATGGCCCAGAAAAGGTACCTACTTCGATCCGCTTCCAATTCCAGGGAACTGAAGACCATGACAGGTTGGCAGCACGTTTGCCGATTCCTATCGCGACATCATCTCTCATGCAAGTGCCAAGTCTCCGTGCCCTTATTCCTGCAAATAAGGCCATTGGAGTCTTGACATACGACAGCACAAGGCTTGGAGAGGCCCATCTACTTGCGCTCGATATTAAGCCAGAGGACGTGCGAATGTGGGGAACCCCTGATGACGGTCATCTGAGAGGTATCTGTGCTAGAGGTGAAAAGTATGACGCTGAAAGGCTGCAAAAGGAGCTGGTAGACCAAGCCAGGGCAATGACGTCTCGATACCCTGAGATTGCGGTCGTTGTTTTGGAGTGCACAAATATGCCCCCATATGCGGACGCGATTCAGCGTGCAATCAACTTGCCAGTCTACGATGTATATACCATGGGGACTTGGTTTTACTCGGGCCTTGTCCGACAGAATCCAAGAAGCTGGAAATCTGAGAGGCGGGAATGACAAGCAAACCTACAGTAATTCCAGCTGGTCGAGGTAGAGTGAGCCATTGGGAAGATGTTAGAACGATATGTGCATTCGAGTCGCAGATGGCGGGTGATCTAGGCAAAGCAGACGGATCATGCTGGTCGGATGAGTGTTCATTGTGGGATATGAATGGCTATATGGCGACACGTATGTCAAACCAACAAGAATACAGAGGAGATAACGCATGACGGGGACGCCTCTTCCGCCAGGGCTGATACCCCCATTCCTTCCGGACCTGAGGGCTCACCATCCAAACTGCTCGCAATGAAGAGACACATGAGGGCCCCCAGAAACCATCCGTGATGTCGTCACGCTCCTGACTTCCTTCAACAGCCCCGCTGGCCCGCATGCCATGACCAGAACTCGCTGACCGGAGCCCATCCCCTCCACGGCCTGGGCAACGACATCATTCACATTGGGCCGTTGGTAGTGAACCGAAGCACCGTGGATGTCACTTGGCAGATCCCCAGTCATGCTCGATAGTTCAATGGCCGACTCATCGCCCAGAGAATCTTCCAGAACCAGGGCTCCTTCTGAGCCATCTGCTGTTCCTAGGCCTGACCGGTTGGTCAGTTTCTCAACCTCCTTCTGACCAGTGATGTGGATCAAAGTCTTGAACCCTGGGGAGTGGTTAATGTCACGCAAATGAGCTGAAAACCACTCAAGAAGGACTTAAGGCAGTTAGTCATAATTACATCAGAAAACCCAAGACTAAAGACTGACCCGAGTTCCTCATGGACCACACCAAGGTAACATCTCTCTTATCGGAGCCTTCGGAGGCCCGCAAGAGTCGAAGAGCACTGCCGAATGCGAAGCTGCCGCCGCTGCCACCCGCAAGTATCACCACCCTATCGTATCGTGCAGGGTCTGGTATTTGCCCATAAGGCCCCTCGACTGATGCTCTAAGGACGGCACCAGAGTTCTTCGAAGCATACTGATGTAGGTCGCGAGTGAAGCCATCCTGGGAGGCAACAACAAACTCGAGGGGCTCTGCCCTCGCGATGGTGAAAGGGTGCGTCTCAAAGCGGCGAATCCCCGGAATCCACAAGAATGCATGTTCACCTGGATTGGCTCTGAGGAGCTTCTTGTTGAGGATGACCCTCGTGCCGCCGTTGGGAAGCGGCTGCAGCGTGGCGGTGTTGTTGATGCCGTGGTAGACCAACCGGGATGCACGCATAAGACGATCGAGGAACCACATTCCCGCCGCGAGGCCCATCGCAATGACGACCCTCTCAGCTGCAGTAGGGTGATGGAGAGACATGAAAGCCAGCGAAACCACAACGAAGACGACATGCAGGACATAGAAGAGCTCGTAGCGGCGACGCTGCAGGGTTAGAGCAGCCATGACGACCATCAAAAGACTGAAGGCTGCTACGATGCCAAAAATCTCTTCGCGAACGCGCAATCGGGCTGCATTTTGCTGATCAAGAAAGACGGAGGAGTATGAAGCGGCGTGCACGACCACGAGGAGGAACGTGGTCAGCCCTGAGATGCGGTGGAGGATATTCAGTCGTTCGTAGGACACTCCGGTTAGGTAGCCAAGCGGGGTGTTTTTGAGACTAAAGAATACGGTCAGGACGATATTTGCGACAGCTAACCTGCCAATATTGTTAGTGAGAGCCCCTTTTGAGGACAAATACGGAGAAATCACATACCAGCCTGTTCGGGCTGCGACAACAACGCGCAGTGGCAAGAAGCTGGTATCAGTGTAGACAAAGATGAAGCCGACGTTGAGTCCGAGGTAAGCTAGTAAAAGAGCGCCGTGGCCAAGAGACGGTACACCAGGGACCTTTACTGAGACAAGTCTTCGAAGACTGGATAGTGAGTGTCAGAACCGGTGGATTGGTTTATGTGTTTCGTTATCTCTTACCTAGCAAAAGGCCCAAGTCTCAGAGGTCGCCGCAGGAGACTGAAAAAATGGAAGATGATAAAGAGTCCCATAAAGCCCGCCAGAACACCTGCGTAAAGCCTCATGGCATTGTGATCGCGTTTAGCTCGCGCCGCGAATACCGCCATCATCTGTGCCTGATCTGGTGGAGGCGGAGGCGGAGGCGGAGCGCTCTGGGTCGGAGCAGCTGTGGATGCATCACTGACAAGACTCGACATTCTAAGATGACTTTGTCAAGTCTGATCTGGTTTTTAAAGAGTAGTGGGAAGTGGGATCAGTTGGCTTGTTACAGAGTAGGCCAGTCTATGCCTTGTGGTGTTTTTCGTGCTGTCAACGAGTAGAAGAGATGATCGGCCGAGATATGACAACAGATTTGCTTCACGAATATATAGGCCAAATCTCAGATTCCAAGCTTTTCATCACAGCCCATGTAAGTGCCCTAGCTCGTACATAATCTTGCAGAGCCGCGCGTTGTCGGAATGCTTCAGTTTCCTGCTCGAGTTTCCGAAGAAATAGCATCATCAGTGGCATAGCCTTGATCTTGGCTCAACCCTGGACAACCCCGGCTGTGCTGATACCGGCACTGAGAAAGAGGCAGGGTTCATGGCGAGATGCGCCTTGAGATAGCGAGAGATCGCCAAAGAGATGCAAGCATTTCTGGTGGTGATGGAGCGCGGGCCTTGTATTAAGGTTTAGCGGGTCCTCCCTTAAGGTTTAGCTCCAGGGCTTGGCTTATCTTGGTAATATTAGTAATTGGGAGACGCGCAATTGGGAGAGGCATCCAAAGCCTCATCAAGTGCGTAACCGCTCAAGGGGCTGGGACAGCCATTTGTCAGCTAAGCATATGCGCACCAAGACGTTGGCTTCGGAACGATGCCTGATTGGTCACACAGGCCCGGAGCGTCTACGAAACGTTGCGAGATCTCGGCACGTGGTGGGATGGGCATCTGGCCGAATAAAGCGAAAGTACTACGCTGTGTTGCGGCATTGGGTTTTGATGTCGTAATCATAGATGCATGAATAGCTGTATCTTTGCTGTCGTGGCCGACATTGGAGATAAGAATGGCGAAGCAAAAGTACTACAAGTCTACAACGCCAAGGCAGTTCTGAGCGCAGACTGGTCCCTTGATGGATGATGTTTTCACCAATACACACAAGATATATGTCCGGATACATAGATAAAAGTGAATAGAATTAGAAACGAGCCAAAGATGAACAAATTAGCGATCCACTGTGCACAAGTGACGCTACAAACTACCACTTGGAGCCCGAAGTCATATGGCGTGTATCGACCGGATTGGCATCTAACGTTACACACCCGGCGAACTCCTTATCAATCTCGTGTCCGTGTCATAAGCCATCTTCCCCATACCCGAGAACCCTTTACCCGAGTACCCCTTATCCGAGTACCCCTTATCCGAGTACCACTCAAGACAAATGCCAAAGTTTTGCAGAACGACGACGACAGTTCTTGCCCTTCCAAATCAGTAGCACCCCCGACCAGAAAACAAAGAGGCATAGCGCCCCCATGATGATGAATGCATCCCTTAGGCCACTGTGGTTGATCCACGGCTCCGTGGCAAAGATCATGCCGCAGGCGATGATGTTGCGCACCGTGATCATGGCCGTAGACGCCTCTCCAGCTCTGTGAGAATAACCTCAGTGACATAACCCAGAGAGACCTCTCCGGCAATTGGTACCCCTGCGCCGATAAGCTCCATTCCCACCACCGGCACCATCCAGTGTAAGCCCGCCGAAGATCCCACCCCGTACAGCACTAGCCCGGCGCTCATGATCGGGCCCGCCACCAATGCAGCGTAGATGCGCGACTCGGGCTCCATGGTACCGCCGTTCCAGCGAGCCTGCCATATCATGAAGCGGTCCGTTCCTGCTCCGCCTACGTAGAAGAGGATCATGCTGCCGATGAGGGGGGAAAGGCTTGTGAGGCCGACGGCGGTGACGACCGCCATGGTGATGGCAAAGGTCCAATATACCCAGCGCCAGCCGATCCCGTCGACGATGAATCCAGTTGCTAGAGGGCCAATAAAGGATCTGTACCGAAAAAGTTAGCCAGGGATGATCAATCAGTAACCGGGTACCCTGAAAAGGGGGGAACAACCCGTAAACACTTATCCTAGCGTTGCCGCGAGGACATACATGGACAATCCAAAGCCTCGCTGATGGACAAAGAACTGGTCATTGACAGTCACTGCGGGAAGCTGCTCAAAAGGAGCAGCAACAAAACCCATCAGGATACGAGAGCCTACAAAGACGTCACTTCTCTGTGCGGTGGCTGCAATGACCTGAGCGACGCCTGTCAAGAGACAAGATAGTATGTAGACCGGCCGACGACCAAATCGAAGAGCCTGCTATGTTAGACAACCTTTCCTTCCTGTTGCTGGGATACTCGAAGAAACTCACCATAGGATTCCAGATGATGTTGCCCATTCTGATAAACAGAATCGAGACCGCCGTGCCGACATTCAGGTACTCAGCCGTTGTGTTGAACTCAGCAATGAGGGCTCCATAGGTGACAGCTGTGGACAAAGCTACCACAGCCACCATAAAAGAGTATATGTTGACCACTAGGAAGGAGATGGTCTTGCGGGTGATGCTCCAGTTGAGGGGGTCGTCAGGGTCACTGGAGGGCTCTGGAGACAGAACAATGTGGGTTGACCCATCACCTCTGCCTGGGTTGAGCAGGAGTCTAGTCCCAGGTATCATTTCGATTGTTTCTGAGAAGGTTCCCATCTCGACGTCTGGAGACACGTCCGTAGACGAGGAGTTCTCAGTTTTCTTGGTTGAGTCTGAGGTAGAAGTCATATTGAAGAGTGGTTTGGCTGTGTCCTTAAGTTGATGAAAGATGGATTGGAAGCGCGATAAGCGGTGCACAAAGTAAATGAGGAGTTATGTTGTCATTCTTTCCCAAAGATGGTTCGAACCTAAGATAACTGGCTTTTATTCACATGATGGTTTCCAAGGTCCCTCGGCGTAGCAGAGGCAAGTGTGCCGGATGAATAATTGATTCGACCCAACGAGTTGATACAGGTTGCAGCAGCACCTCGGCAGGGTGTCTAGACGCGTAATATTCGCAAATTGTTTCCGACATTCCGAGATAACACTATTCCATGTGCAAAATGCTAGACCTTGAGATACATCAAGGCAAGTGTAACACTTAACTCGGGTCCCTACCCCAGAGATCCGGGGCCAACCTTCGGATGAGTCCCGAAAACCCCGTCATCTCATTGGTCTCTCGGATCACCTTGTAACTGACCTATCTTGCGGGGGAAATTGCACTGTCCCTGTCTTGGCTATTATGGTTTACGCCAGTGCCGCAACTAGGATAGCCCGTGGAGGGTGCTTATGCGTCTCCTGTATGGGTATTTGTCAGCTCGGAAACAACCAGGAGGCATTCCAGAAGCTGTAGATATTGGCGGCAGGGAGAGTGGTTCAAAATAGTTGATGTTTCTTCAAAAAGCCAGGTATAAGTTATAGCATGGCGTCGTCCTCCAAATTACACTCAACAGCATCCTCTACTCCCAAACTTGATTGGGTCTTACTTGGAGATTAAAAAAACCAACCGCCTTTTCTCAGCACTATAGTTGCATTCATGTCTACCCCAGAATGGCAGGACATAGTGGCACGCAAGCGAGAGCAGCGTGCCTCACTCATCCCTCAACAATGGCTGATCAAGAAAGCGTCGGGGCACAATCCTCTCAAATCCCTGCTGGACAGTGGCATTCTGACCCCCGAGGAAATGGAACCCACCGACGTCAGCAAGCATGACGCGGTCGAAACACTCAGCCTTGTCGCTTCTGGGAGCATAACTGCCGAGAAGCTCGTTACCTCCTTCTGCAAGCGGGCCGCTGCAGCTGACAGCTTGACCAACTTCATCACAGAGGTCAACTTTGAGCAGGCCATCCGCCGTGCCAAAGAGCTCGACAAGCATCTGTTGGAGACCGACCGCGTCGTCGGGCCCCTACATGGTCTGCCCATTACGGTTAAGGACCATATGGACCTTGAGGGGCACGATTCGTCTGCCGGCATCGCAGCGTATTGCTTCGATCCCGCAAAGTCAAATTCTCGCCTCGTTCAGATCATGGTCGAGGCCGGCGCCGTTGTGGTAGCAAAGACTAACGTGCCGCAGACTTGCCTCGCAGCCGACACCATCAACGTCGTGTTTGGCAGGACCCTCAACGCCCATGACAGTGGCTTCGGGGCCGGTGGCTCTTCCGGTGGCGAGGGCTCTGCTCTTGCTCTTGCTATGGGGGCATCGCTCCTCGGGCTGGGCTCTGACGGCGCCGGGTCAGCTAGAATGCCAGCCATGGCAAACGGCGTGGTCGGCTACCGACCCAGCGGATATCGTCTCCCCGCCGATGGCAGGTCCATCCTCGACCCGGGCATGATGGGAATCACAGAACTCGGCCCTGTTGCAACGTTCGGCTTGATGGGCCACTCGATTAGAGATATCCGGCTCGCGTCCAAAGTTGTCAGCGATGCCAGGCAGTGGGAGCACGACCCCTTCTTATACACATCGCCCTGGCTGGGCATAACCGCTCCAACAAGGCCTCGCATCGGAGTCTGGGTCTCTGACACCCCCAATAACTATTGCCACCTCTTCTCTCCCGTATTGCGTGGCTATCTCACAGCCCAGAAGCGTCTACGCCAGGCTGGATATGAACTCGTCGAGTTCACTCCACCAGACATGAGCGAGGTCTGGGAGCTTTGCGGAACGTTTATTCATGTCCAAGGTATCACTCCCCTGACCAAAGAGATTGCAAAAGAACCCATCATGAAGATTGTGGAAAAGACTGGTACTCTAGGGTCTGAGTGGGCCAACAAGAGGATCACCCTCGAGGACGTCCACCAGCTCAACCAGAAGCTCGCGCTGCTCAACATTCAGATGAAAGCAGCTTGGAATGCAAGCGGCCGGCCTCTCGACGCCCTTCTCTGGGTCACTGCCCCGAACCCGGCTCTACCTATTGACGAGTGGACGGACACGACGTTCACGGCTGTGTTCAACGCAGTAGACTGGCCAGCCATCTCACTACCGCTGGGAATGAAATGCGACCAAGGCGTTGATGCCTCCTATGTGGACTTCAAGCCATTCAGCACTGAGGATGCGCGACTTCAGGCTATATACGAGCCCGAGAAGTTTCATGGCCTGCCTTTGTCAGTGCAGCTAGCGGGGCAAAGATTTGAGGATGAGAAGCTTCTTGCTATTGCAGAGCTTATCACCAGTGTAGTTAGACATGAGTGATTATGCCTTGATAGTTTCTAGAGACACACCACAGCAAGAAAATCCACTGACCCAAGTATAGCAACCGTCGTCAACATGAACTGCTCGTTTTTTGGATACATTCTGCGTAAATACTCCCGTTGATGGGTGCGTTAAACAGACCCCATGCCAATACATAGGCCTGGAACGTCTTTAATATTGGTGGCGAACCCGGGGGCCCTCTGGTTTCATAGAAGATCCCAGGGCCACACCTGCCTCTACGTGCCTCTCGGGAACCCACCGTGAGACTCACGCTCTTTTATCATGTAAAATCCCTTCTATGTGTCTGGTACCTAGTTTACACCGTCAAGGTAGGCCACGTCATGCCTGCCTGGCTAAGACGCTCAGCGTTTGATGACCTTGAGGTGCGCATGCCGCTTAGTCATCATGTGTATGACTTGTGTTCTCGCTTGAGGCTATCACGACCTTCCTTTTCAGGCGGCAACGTGGCCTTTCTCTTAGAGCTAGTTATCCAAAGTGTCTTGGCAGACTGTGTTTTGTGTGAAAATAGCGTAGTGTGGCAGTACGTAATCCCCATCTAGCTTGTCAAATAGATCGATTCAATCCCCTCTTTGGCCTATATACATTTGCTCGACGCTTCGATTTGAGGGTAGGTCCATCGTGGAGAGCAGAAACAAGAATGAACAGGAAAAACAAAGGAACGGGGCAATCTCAAGTATGGTGCCAGTCCACCTCCCCATGACTTCTAGTCTCCACCGTGATACCATACTCAAAGAACTGGAGAGAACGAAGTCGGGTCCAACACAGTTGAAACAACACTCTCAAAGTTGCTGAAGTTGAAGCCAACCATGTCGTTGGTGAAAGCTTCACTAGCCATGTACGCTGCGCCGACATCGGCAGGGTCGTCGCCGATCGCGTATTGAACTAGGGCCATGACTTGCTTATCATTGCCTTCGGGCGTCCAAACGGCTCTTGTGGTGATGTTGAACTGTTTCAATGACTCAATGTGTTTCTTCCAAATCTGAACATATTGGTTGGTTGCATTGACAGTGGCCAAGGTGTAGCTTCGCAGCTCTGTCGGGGGCTGCTGGCGTGCCAGAGTAGCCGGGAGAGCAAAAAGAAAGGCAAAAGAGATCTTCATGATTTGATATCGTCGAGTAGAAAGTTGATAATGTTGGTTGCAGAGTGATAAGAAAGGGTATCTTCCTATGCAATATAGTACTCGACAGCAATCATGTTATGACTACATCTAGACCTGATAACTAAGCGGAGGTTAAACCTTGTTCGAAATAACTTCTCAATCTTCGCTCTAAAGCGGACAAAGCGTTGCAAAAACTAATTAAAGTGAAATTAGCTCTATCAGCCCCATCAACCCCATCAACTCCATCGGGTTGCTACTTTAAGATACGAAATCAGTATTTCAAAGCCAGGGTCGGTGTCAGAGTTAGAGTCAGCCCATGTGTTTCGGTGGTGGCTTGCCTTGCTGCGAATCTATTGTCAAGGGTACTCAAATAGAGCGTCAGTGTAGCCCCGTGACAACCCTGCAGTCTCGGGGGCGGTTAGAAAGAGGCAAATGAGGGATAAAAAGCCCCATCCTGCAAAGAAGACGAAGGTTTGATGCAGTCGTTGTTAGAATACCTGGCCGATCTTGTATTGACACTTGCGAAAACACCCTGTTGTGAGAGGCCATGGTCGAATTGAGATATATGTGACATTGAGAGAGGTGGCTTGACTACGATTGGGTGGGCAACTACAGGAACCCGAGGGTTATCATGTGCTCCGGCTGCCGGACCGTTAGTCAAGGTAAAGGATTGTCACTCTTACTTCTTGGTGGTGATACTGTTCAGCCAGGAACCAGGACCCTGGACCTTTTGTCACACGATGCAACCAGGGCCAAACTCTAAATCTTTCGGTCGCCGGACCGACAGCAAGAGTGAAGACTGATTACTCCCAGCTTCTGATATAATGGCTTAATCCGGATGCCTCGGCCCAGGCTGTGCTCGCCATGTAATGTCGGCGCTCCATGTAACCTTCGGCATCCGGCGTTTGAACGTGGTGACGCAACACAACACGCCAGATCTGCCCTAACTAAGTTGTTATAATTAAGCGTCGAGACCCGTTGTCCACATTTTTGGCCCATCCCCTGTCATCACTGTGAGAAGTGCCCTGCGGTTTCCATAGACTTACCCTCAGAACTAACTTCTCAATCCTGCTCTAAGGCCAAGCTCAGACCAACGCTTGCTCATCATGGGTTAGTTAACGCGTTCGAGCCAAGTTCTATCATGTTAATGAGTTTTTAGCTATCTCGGACAAGGCCAGATTGATCATCTCCCGGTGGACTGACGGATGGTCGGCGTCCGATCAGTCAGATTGGGTCAAGTTGCACACCCGCGACGTGGTGTATATCGACCACGCTTTCCAAATCAGTCGAACTGGCCACGAAGGACTCAAAAGCCATACTGAAATCTGGAAAGGCTCTATTCCAGATTTTTCCGTCAAGGAAGAACACATTTGGGTGGAAGAGTCGCTCGCTAACTTTAAGAGCCGGTTCGTCTTCAAAACGGTAAACACGGGCATCTTTGTTAATGATCTTCCTGGCATCAAGGCAACTGGGCGGCCTTTTTGGTTCCCAGGCGTGGTTGAACTGATTGTCCGCAACGAAGATGGACTGATTGAGAAGATTGAGGAATGGTACACCTTCAAGTTCCACAGCGTGGCGTCGATTAACGAGTATGATCACAGAGATCGATAGGCTTTCGAGGGTATCGGCCTTCAATACAGTTGAAGATTGGAATGTTCTCTTGGATAATAGCCACAAACCTACTTAAATGGCGAATGAAGATTCCATTTTTCGATCTCTTCTCCATGTATCTTTCTCCAGTGAAACGTTCTTCGCTCCACAACTTCAGGACTTCAGGGCCTGATTCGCACATTTTGCCTCTGTCATGTAGGTGCTGCATGAGCATACATACTGGATGATGATGGGATTTTCCTAGTTGAAAACGGTGAGTCTAGCTATTCCTGTAATCGTTCATGGAGACTGAAGTGGCGTTGCTCAGTTTTCTCCTCACTTGACACGTCGTCGACAATGCCCACAACTTCGAACGTACAGGGTTTCTCACATCAGGCCGCAAACGCCGCTTTTGCCGCTACCCATGTGGCGATGCCCAGGCAAAATCGCCCTCGCCGCTTTTGCCGCAAGATTCCATCAACGTGCATATGGCCGAAACTCAAAGGTCTAGTTAAGGTCGAATATTGCCTGGTTTCGTATGGTGTCCCCTTTCCGAACTTTGTTACCCAATAGGAATCACTGGCCTAGGACTGTTGTCGGTGACCCTGTGCCCCCGTCAGGACGGAGGACTCCTCTTTAAGAAGAGTGATGCGCCGTTGTTGAGAAGTAGCCCTTCTTCAAACCGCTAGATTCACTTTGATACACCTCCCAACATGTCGGCTCCGTATCCTGTTATTGTCCTTGTCCATGGGGCCTGGCAACACCCCGAACACTACAAGCTCTTGGTCCAGGCATTCCATGATGACGGTTTCTATGATGTCGTCACTCCACGCAATGTCACTTCGGGTCCGCCAGAAGAAATTGCCGGGAAAACGCATCTAGACGATGTCCAAGTCATTCATGAAGCCATGGCCCCATACCTAGATGCAGGGAGGGAGGTGGTTCTTGTCACGCACAGCTATGGAGGCGTCCCAGGCGTGTCGTCCTTGCAAGGCCATACCATCCAGGAGCGAGAACTCAAGAATCTCAAAGGCGGAATCAAAGGAATCGTCGCTTTCGCCGCCTTTGTTCTCCCTCAGAAGGGGCTTTCTCTCTTTCAACCTGACGGTTCTCAGTACGGGGAAGCATTTGATGTACAGGTATGACATATACGTGTCAACCGTGGGAGAAACAACGCTAATCGCCCCAGAATGACTATGTTGCCACTACTGCTGGCTTTCGAAGGGCCCTTTTCTATGGAGTACAAGAGGGTCAAGACCTCCCTGAACTTTCTCCCCAGAGCCGACTTAGCCTTGAGACACCTACCCAAGTAATTGCACGGGACTTTGCCATTCCCAAGGTCTATATCGTTTGCGAGGAGGACAAGGTCATCCCGGTTAACCAGCAACATGCAATGGCACAGGCAGCTGATGCGCGCATTGTTACAATTGCAAGTGGTCATAGCCCTCAGTTGGACGAGAAGCACAGCCGAGCCATCGCGGGTACGGTTAAGCAGTTCTTTGTCTGATTCTTCTTTCTTCGAGGATGTGCTTGATATAAAAGACTTTTAAGAATAAGAAGTATATTTTGCTGTTTTACGTTTGTGGCTTCCCATTACAAGGCAAAGGGTCACATTCCACCTCCTATCTAGGTTACCACCGAGGAATAACCCGAATATAAGATAGGTACGCAAGATTTGGGAGAATTGTCTGAAAATAGCAATCTCAAATCATAATCTTACTATATTGCCATTTGTCTGCCACAAACGTCCAATGCTCTGATCTGCCTCTTGACAGTGAAAACCAGCCACTTTTGTGAACTTGGTGACACTTCCAAAACACGCCATCAGCCCCAGTAAGAAAGAACAATGGTCTTGGTACTTGCCGGCATGGAAACCCATTTCCGAAAAACATCAAATTGCTTTTTGTCATCGATATCCTGAAAGACATGCCTGCAGCAAGCCACAACTCACTGAGAGTAAGCAATGCGACCTCGCTTAAATTCAGCTCGTACAATTAGAGTGACGAAGGCGCGTGATGGTTTCTTTGGTTGGGTGCACTTTTACCCTCCTATTGTTTAAATTGACAAATCACAGTTGAAATTCATACCGAGCGGTTCCATCACTTCAATGCTAACAATGATTGGGCCATGCTTGATTGAGGCCCCCAGTGTCTGGTCAGCTGAAGTGCAGCCACTGGGCTTTCTTTCTTGGGGGCGGCGTCTTCCTCGGGGGCGGCGACGATATTAGAGGAGAAACTCCCAGTCCCGTTTCGACTGATGTGATTTATTCCTAAATTCAATCCGCAAGCATCAGTTGCGTAAGCTCTAAACATACCACCAAATTCCAGCGCCCAGATCTCTTAACCGCTCAATGTCAACTTCGCCAGGCTGGTCGGGGGGGAAGGGACCGACCGTGACAACAACAGCCGCACCTAGTGAGAAGCCGCCTGATCGAAGTCGTGCAAATGAACCAAAGACGCGGGTCGAGAAAGCGCTCGCAACACCCGCCCGCCTTGTTTCCATCAGAACTTTAAATGTTCTCCGCGCTTTTGATGACGGCAACCAGAATCAAGCCGCCAATCTCATCGAGCGAGAGGGTTTTGAGTGGGCGTATCAGGTAGGCGACCGGCAAGAAACAGTTCTGCATCAGGCTGTGGAGCTGGACTACGAACGGGTTGTAGTAAACCTCACACAACGATACAAAGGAGCGGTTGACGCATGTGACAAATTCGGCCGAACTCCTCTACATTATGTCTCGACTAGACCCCACGCTGCCGCAATCGCCCAAAATCTGCTCGAAGCCGGCAGCCCCGTCGACGCTCTCGATTGCCAGAACCTCACTCCGTTGCACACCCTAGTCTGGAGACCGAAGGAGGAAGAAGCGAAAGTTGCGGATAAAACACGCCCAACCACCTTGGTGAAGCATTTGCTGGACAATGGCGCTGAGGTGAACACGAGGGACGTTTTCGGTAACCCCATCCAGGTCCCATATCGTCTTGAGCACATTTACTGATTCCGTAATTCGACAGGTGATAGCCCACTGCACGATGCTGTGCGGAAAGCGGACATGGAGATGTCGAAGCTTCTCCTGGAGCACGGCGCCGATAGCGAGTGTCGCAACTTTGACGACAAGACACCACAAGATCTTGTGCGAGATCTGCCCGACGGCGTCATCAAAGCAATGCTCAATAAGCTTCTCCGTTCTATCAATGAATGGGATCCGAATGATGCTCGAGCAGTCCAGGCCATTCCCACTAACGCGCCAACGTGCTGGGGCAACGCCCCGGGCGATACAACTGGCAAACCAGGACACAACGACATTGATCGTGGTCATCAGAAGGTCTGCGAAAAGTTCAACATGAACATCCGCTTCTATTACAGTGATAAACCGTATTCGCAGAGTTGGTCGGTGTCTGTCCATGATCTTCTTCACCAAGAAGGCCGGATGGCGAGACTGGAGGACGAATTCGCCAAACTTGTGTTTGAGCAATTACAGGCGGACGGGGAGGTGGATAAGGGGGAGGACGAAGAGGCAGTGAAGGGGAGGGTGAATGGGCAATGCTGGAAGTGGATTCACCTCCCTGTGAACCAGGTCAGCCTTATCTTGGAAATATTTAAGCGATGGTGCTAACCCCATGAAACAGATGTCCTGGATTACGGTTTGTGACAATATGTGCCTCCGCTTGTGTTGATTCCTGCTGAACTGACCGGCCAACCATAGGATCTTGTGTGGCGACTCACTGAGCCAGTGTCTGGCGACGATCAAGCTGAGAGGAGGAAGGAGGCATGGAGATTCCTCAGCCGGAACATAGCCCAGCGAAAGGGGGCAAATGACATATTCACACGGATGCCGCATGTAAGTTTAAAGAGACAGCACAGTCTATCACTAGTGGAGCTGCCAATAACAGATGTCCAGGCGGGAGACTTCTTGAAAAACAAGGCCATAGATGGAGAGGAGATGGACAATGACCTAGGCTCTAAGAGTGTAAGTATATGGCCACCAAAACGTCAAGTGATTTGGTCTAAAGCTCTTACTAAACACAAGCCTGCCATAGACAGAGAACATCAAAAGCTCTGCCATGAGCACAACTGGGAGCTTGTATCGAGGGGAGAGCTGGAGGAAGTCAACCAAGTTCCACCCCGATGATAAAATCTCTATTGTGGTATGTTTCATATCAGCCGACCAATCCCGAGGAAGTTGAAAAACAAACTAGCAACTCAGGTGCCTTACATTGATTTTGAGACTCAAGAGTACCTCCAGCATGTTACAGAGGTCAGAGCCTCAGACACCTACTAACCCAAGGCCCCTGGGTTCCGACGATCTTCAGGCTTAGTTAACCCATCAAGGGCCGGGCTATAATTATAATAAAGAATAGATCTCAAACATAATATAATATTATAACCCGATATTAATATAATAGCCTAATTAAACTTCTATAGTAATAAAAGAGTTGTATTTAGCTATATTATTATAAAAGTCTAACCTCTTATAGGTATTTTAATTACTTTAACCTTTATATAAGAAATAAAAGAATTATTTATTTTTCTATCTTTTTAAGCTATAATCTCTTAATATTTTATCTTTAAATATAATACCTATAAGAATTATAATTAATTAGTAATATAACCTTAATAATAATAATAATATTATTATTATTATTAACATATATAATAAGCGAGTATTATAGATAAGCGAGTATTATAAAAATCCTAACCCTCCTTAGGAATACTATAATAAAAATATTATAAATTATCTAATTAATTAAAACTATTTATTATACTCTTCTTTAGATATCTTAATTACTACCTAGCACGTTCTTATATTATATCTAGGCTCGCCGTATATTCTATAGCGCTAAACGCCCGGTCTAATTGACCTTCCTCGACTATTACTTCTCGATAATTCCGCAATTACCTACGCATTAATATCCATTTAATTAATTACTTGCCTTCCTTACTCTATTATTATAACCCCTCTTCTTTATAGCTAAGTCCTTTTTACTCTTTAGTGCTAACTAAGTATCTTATTTACCTCCCGAAGATCTTTAACCTTAGCTTTTAATAATATAATCTTATATATATTTCCTTTTATTACTTTTATAAGAGACTTTATAGCCTCTATAATTAACTCTAAGGAGCTATTATAATACCTTTTAATTTATCTTTTAAGGTATTTAAACTAAGATCTAGCCTTAAGTATAATCTTTGGGGTCCTTAAGACCTAAGGGGTAAAAAGTTTAACCCCCTCCTCGGTAGGCATTAGAGTCTATAGCTATATATTAAGCTTTAAGACTATAGCTTCTAGGTTAAGGGGAATAAAGCTAGCTCCTTTAAAAGCCCCCCTAATATTTCTTTCTATTATAATAGCCTTATATATAGCATAGAAGGCTAGAAAGAACTTAGTCTTTAAAACATAGGTTATAAAGTATTTAATTAGATACTTTATTTCTTAGCTATAAGCTCGCTTTAATACGCTAAAATACCTAATATTAAGGGGCTAGAGTAAATAAGAGGAATAAGGCAGTATATAAAGCTAGATAATCTTCTTTTCCTTATAATATTTCTTAAATTCGATAGACTAATAACTTTTATAGCTATTAAGGATTAAGAGGCGATAATAACTATTTAATCGCTTAGCTATATACCGGTTAAAGTACTTAAGCTATTTAAGACTAGTCTTATTATCGGTCTAGCTATTTTAGGTTATTATAATAGCTTAATCGCCCGGGAGGTTATTATCTTAGTATTAATTAGTAAGGTAATATTAGCCTACGCTAATAATAAATAATTAGATTACTTAGCCTTCTATATTAATCGCCTAGATTACTATAATCTATTCCCGGTTTCTAGGCTATACTAATTTTAGCTTTAAATACCTTTCTAAACCTATAATAATTATTCTACTTATAATTATACCTATAAGAAAGCTAATCTTATTAAAGTTATAGAGATTATCTAATTAGATATTATACTTCGCGATTATATTCGCTATAAGCATAAACTACTTATAGATAATAGCTAGATCTTTATACTTAGCTCTCTAGTAATTATATTTCTAAAAAAAATATATCTTAAGCTCTAGGTATTACTTAATAAAGTTATAAGCCTAGCGCACGCTAATTAGTAATATATTATAGTCGGTAAGTAATTAATTAGCTATATCTTTAATACTATATAGCTATAGGGGAAATCCTCGCGAATCTAGGTTAAGGATAAAATAAATAAGGATATCTTTTTCTAGATTAGATAGCTTATATAAATTAGGGATAATATCGCGTCGAGACTAAATGCCTTATTACTAGTGATATAAGGTATAATAATAAATTATATATATCGCTATGGCGCGTTAGATACTTAGTTTTAAGTTATTTTAGAGGGCTTAAAGAGCTAGAAGGATTCTAGCTTTAGTATTAAAGCCTAATATACTAGGTAATTAAGAATTAATTAATTAAATAAAGAAGATATAAGGTAAGGGATTTTTATAATACTCGCTTGTCTATAATACTCGCTTATCATATATGTTATTATTATTATTATTATTATTATTATTATTATTATTATTATTATTATTATTATTATTATTATTATTATTATTACTTATAAGGATTATTACTTTTTTTTTTATCTTCTTAATTATTAAAAAAGAAGCTAAATTATATAAAATATAAAATAGCTTTTAATTTATTAAATTAATATAATATTACCTTATAACTTCTAATAAATAATACTTATCACGACCTAACAAAACACTCATTATATAACCAGGGAAGATCCCATTATTACCTACTAATCAGGATATAATTACTATTAAAACCTAAGCGATCACGGTAATTACTTCGTGATTACTTATAATTACTTATATAATTACTCTAATTAATATCCTAAGGATAATAATTAAGAAAGACCCCTTAAGTATATAGACTATATTTATTTATACTTTCTTTTATAGTAGCTATCTTAATTATTAATATAACTTAATTATACTTAATACCTTAAGTATATTACTAAATATAATATTATATTACCTTTAAGGTTATATAATATAATCTAGTGCTAATATAAACTAATATAATTAGTTTATCTCTTAGGAAATATCCTCTTATTATATATTAATAGCTCTTATTTATTAGATTACTTATATTACTTTAAATAATATTAAATATAATAGCTACTTAGGCTACTCTTAGTAATAACTATTAATAGGTTTTACCTACTAATTATTTATTTACCTTTATTATACCTATTTAAAATAACCCTAATAGTAATAAGGAAATAAATAATAATAACGAAGAAATTAAGTAATTCTATGCCTAAGTTATTATTATAATTATTAAAATAAAGGAACTTAGAAGACTTATTAATTATATAGCTATTACTTAGTAAGCTTAAAACTAATAATACTATGAGAATATCTAAAATATTAATAATATAATTATTATTATTATAAAAGGTAAAGATATTAAAGAAATCTTAAAGCTAGAATAACTAGAGAAGTTTAATAATATTATATATAAGTTATTAATATTCCTTATATAATTATATATATTTATACTCTATTACCCTATATAATTTATTATAATATCTAGTAAGGTCTAATATATTATAAGGTATCTCACTAAGTATACTATAGCCTAATTTAAACCTATTATAAAGGAGTACCTTATTAAATTACTTAATAAATACTCGCCTTAGACTATAAATCTCTATTCTAGCTTTAAAACCTTTAAAGCCGCGCTTTAATAAGCTTTTAAAATAATAAATAAAAAGGCTTAAATAAAAAGAGAAATTAAGGCATTTTAATAAACTTACTCTATATTAAAATATAGCACTAAGTACCTCTAGCTCGCCTCGAAGCTTAATTAAGACTAAGAACCCTTAATATCCTTTTTCTTTAATAAACTTAAGAAAGAAATATAAACTAAATATTATAAAGAAGACTAGCCTAATAACCTTATTAATTATATCGGCTAAGTAATTAAGATTAATAACTAATAATTCTCTTAAAAGAAACTCTAGAATCCCTATAATAATAAAGAAAATTATTAAAAACCTCGGTTTAATATTAACTAAGGGTAATATTAATAAAATAATATATCCTATAGAACCTATATAAGACCTATAAAACTTAAAGTAACCTAA